CCCCTTGGTGACGCTCTGCCGCGGGGGTGAGTAGGGGGTAGGGAGGGGACGTACCGGGGGTGGTGATCCACTGTGTGGGCTCACTCACAGGGGTGAGTAGGGGGTAGAGAGGGGACGTACTGGGGGTGGTAATCCACTGTGTGGGCTCGCTCGGCTCACTGACGCCCTGCTTGTTGACCGCCGTCACGCGGAACCGGTAGTCACTGCTCGTTTCCAGGTTCAGGTAGCTGATGATAAACTGTGTTTCCGAGCCCGTGGTCCTCGCGTGGTAGTCCCAGCCATCGTGCTCTACGCAGAGAAGCAGAGAGATGCACTACAGGAAAGCTCATCATCGGCACTCAAGCTGTAACCATGGAAACGTGGGGGTGCGTGCGTGTGCAGAAGATGACTGTATCGATTTTTTTTTTATGTCAAGGAAATTTTCGCCCCATTGAGTGAAAAAAACATATGCACCAATTATACATTCCTTTTGTACACTTGTGAAAAAGAAGGTGGGTAGCGTAAGCAATATGGACTTCGGGATCAATCAAAATGTTTGCGGGTCGTGGGTACCTTCGTCGTCTTTCTTGTATTTGTCGATGGTGTAATGCGTGACTGACGACGTTCCTTCTGGGCCCTCGTTCCACGAGAGTGTGACAGAGGACTCACTCTCACTCACGTCCGGTTGACTCGGTGAACCTGGTGAGCCTGCGTTAATACACGAGCACGCACGTTGAACAGGGTCCACAACTCTGGCGATAATATACTATATACCAACCATGATTTCTTAGAATCATTATTATTAATTTCATATTCGTAATACGTATTGGTATTTTATACATTTTATTATTAATTCTATATCAGAATAAACAATGATTTACATGTTTACAGACAATTAATCTCATACATGATTATTCAGTTTCAAATTGGTCTACAGGGGATGTGCTATACTAAGATTATTCCGTACATTCCGATCTTTATGATAATACACAACAAACTACAATTCAGGTATACAGATAGTAACAGAATCATGCATTCACACAGGATTTTCTTGATGAGCAATGAGGTACGGGTTTGAGGTCGAGCGGAGGTATCTTACCAGGTTGAGGACCCGTGGTAATGTTGGACACCTGATCTAGTCCAAGGCCCTTGCTGGTCTTGGCTGCAACCTGGAAAGTATAGCTGACCCTCTCCCGCAGGCCCTGCACATGCCACCAATAGCTATCTGCAGTCATATCTCTTTCGATCTTGATCCCTGGAATCATATTACGCCAACATTAGACCCATATTCACAGCATGTTTTACTTCTACTTCCACCACGTATAGTGCTAACTCAAACAAACGACATATCAATACTTTAAAATTTACATCACACACACATGTATATATATATATATGGTATCAGCACAAATACCCCCCCCGCGCAATTACCCCCGGACATTTACCCCATTGCCATTCACCCCCAGACAATCACCCCGGACAATTACCCCCGGACATTTCACACCCGGGCATTCTACCCCCCGGACAATCACCACCAACATTTCACAACCGCGACAATTACCCCCGGACATTTACCCGGGAACAATTAACCCGGACATTTACCCATGCATTCACCCCCAGACAACTTACCCCCTAGCGCAATACCCCCTCCCCCGAACAATACCCCTGGACATTTACCCGGACATTTACCCCGCGGACATTTAGAGAAGGAGTTATGAGGAAACGGAGAAGGTTAGTGGCGGAGGAGGAATAAGAGGGGGAGAGGAGGTAGAGAGGTGCAGGTGGTTGTTGAGGAGGAGGAAGAGAGGGGAGAATGTGATGGAGCGAGGAGAGGAGGAGTTAGAGGCACCCTCTTTACCTCATCCACTCCTCCCTCATCCACTCCCCTCCTCCACCACCTCTCACCCTCCTCTTCCACTCCTGCTCCTCCTCCTCCCGCCCACCTTCCTACTCCTTCTTCCTTCCTCTCTCACCATTCTCGCTCCTCCTCCTCACACCTTTCCGCACCTTCTCTCCCCTCCTCTCCACCACCTCTTCCCTCCTCCTCGACCTCCTCCCTGTTCACTGTTCAACATGAATAATAAACACCAAGGAGTAATTTCCGGGCCAGTGTAAATGTTGGCATCGCGCCACGGGGGCGCGTAAATGTCGGGTTGGGGGTAAATGTCCGGAGGGACTCGGGGCGGGTAATTGTCCGGGGCGGGCAGCAAGGGTGGGTTTAAAGTATTGTCGCAGGGCGGATTATTGTCGGTCAGGGAGTAAGATGTGCCGGTGGCGGTAATTGTCGGTTGGGTGGAAATGTCCGAGGGTAACTGTCGCCGGGCGGGGTTTAACAGGAGGTTAAATCGTCCGGCTGGGGGTAATTGCCTGGGGCTGATTGTCCGCGGGTAATTGTACCGGGGTGAATGCATGGGGGGTAATGTCGAGGGGTAATTATCCGGGGCGGGGGGGGGATTGTCCGGGGGTATTTGTCCTAGAACCATATATATAGATATATATAACTTAAGCAGAAGCCACAGAAATGTCGTTATGCTGACGTTTATGATGTGCAGTACCTTCATCAGAGTTCGCCGTCCTGTATATGACCTTGTAGCCCGTGATGACACCATTCGGCTTACGCGGCGATGACCACGACAGGTTGAGAGAAGTCATCGCAATGTCAGTGAAGCGCACGAGTGCAGGCTTGCCTGGCACTGAAGGGTAAGACGTCAAAGAACAATAAGGCCGCCCCCCCCCTGCAATACATGACAATGTACATTGATTGAACAATAAGCATGCCAATACATGACAATGTACATTGATTGAACAATAAGCATGCCAATACATGACAATGTACATTGATTGAACAATAAGCAGCCAATACATGAGCAATGTTAACATTGAAATTGAACAATAAGCATGCAATAGAATGACAATGTACATTGAATTCGAACAATAAGCATGCAATACATGACCAATGCTACATTGATTGAACAATAATGCATGCCAATACATGACAATGTACATGAGATTAACAATAAGCATTTGCCAATATGCATTGTAATTAGATTGAACAATAAGCATGCCAATACATGACAATGTACATTGATTGAACAATAAGCATGCCAATACATGACAATGTACATAGATTGTGAAAGAAGTGTGGATACCAGAAATCAGGGTTAGACACTAACCATTTTAGTTCATTAGTCCACAGGACTAGTAAAGAAAAAATGTACTAGCCTCCAAGTTTCTACTCGTCTTGCGAAGGACTCTTCACTGTGGCGCAGAGCGATGAGACTTGTGATGTGCCAGGAGGTAGGTGGGGTAGGGAGGGTGTGAGCCCCTTGTATCTCTAGGGGGTAAGGGGACTCTCCCAGGGTACAGCGGTGTCCCCCCAGAAAGGTTTGGTAAAAAAACATTCAATCTGTATAAAATACAGGTAATTTGATATGGATCATAAGATTAAAATAAAATTAAATAAAGTTTTAATTCGAAAATAAAATTTCGGCCTCTTTGATGAGAATCGTGGATCGTCACTTATCACAGGCAAGGAATTGGCCTCATTTATAGCTACAAACGGTTTCCCGGCGGTTGTTGTTGTGTGTTGTTGTTGTGTATATTGTGTTGGTATGGTCGTCTGCTAATGAATCCTCGTAGGCCTTGTCTCGAGTGAGGTTAAGTGCTGCGAATCTAACCCTTGCCGTTGGTCAAGGCTGGAAGCAGCTTGACTAATCGTGTAGGACCTGCCGGTTTTTTCCAATAGTGGGCATTGTCTAATGGGGTTCGGCCAGTTACTAATCGCTTGGATAGATGGCGCGCGTGACTGGTCGGGTATCACTGACTAAACAATGCGTCTAGTTTACGGAAGGGAAAACCGGGCAGAAGTAGAAGTGCAAAGCATCTGGAGGGAAAGCTGATCTGCACCGTACACGTACGCTGGCGTGCGTGCTGCACGTACACGTGGGTGCGCGGCGCTAGTGGCGACAGACAACGACGTGTGCACGTACACCGTTATGCGTGCGTGTGCACGTACACGTGGCGAGTCGTGCGTGGTGCGTGTGCACGTACACGTGCCGTGCGCGCATGGCACGTACACGTTGTGCGTGGTGATGCAATACACGTGCGTGCGTGGCACTACACGTGTGCTGCGTGCGTCGTGTTGTGCACGACGTACACTTGTGTTGCGTGTGTGCCACGTACACGTGCGTGGCGTGCATAGGCACGTCCACGTGTGCTGTGTGTGTGTGGTGGTGTGTGCGTGCGTGTGAACGATTTACACGTGCAGGCGATGCGTGGCACATACACATTGCGTGCGTGAGTATGCACGTTACAGTGTGGTGCGCCGCCCCCCCCCCCCCCTGGTGTGTACGTGCGTGTGCACGCTACAAAGTGCCTGCAGTGCATGTACAGTATGGCCACGTAAACCGTGTGCGCGCGCGTGCGTGTGCATAACGTACGCGGCGGTGGTGGGTGCGTCGGTGCGCGTACACCGTGCGCGGTGGCGTGCGTGGCGTGTCGTAACATGCGCGCGTGCGTGGGTGCGGTGTTGGCTGCGTCGTCGTGCACGTACACGTGTGTGCGTGCGTGTGCCGTACACGTGCGGGTGCACTTTCATCAACTCGTTTGATCGCCACACACCATTTCATCTCAGCTTGGGTCCACTGGGCCCACTGTTTCGCTGAACAGGCATGGTCTTGCATTTACTTTTTGCTAGGATCGTTCTGTGCCCCTCGAAGCATCATGCCGCTTAACAGTTCCAAACGATAGTTTGTAGGTGCACGGTAAAAACTACCAGACATACAAGCCTGCACCACAGGTCATACCCTTGGGCTGGGTCATACTCTAGCCACGGCGTAGGACGATTTCCACCGCTGGCTGGAACGCACGCATCCTTTGTCTTATCATAGCACGGCTGGCCATCTGAGATTTCTCCTCTGCGAATTTACGTTTGGGAGGTGGAGCGGAGCGTCCGTCCAAATACTTTCACATAACAACCGTCATGTTAGTAAATTATTACTATGGATAAGGAGTGTAACCTCACTATTAGTCATACATTGTAATAGACTGCTTCCAAGTAACGAACACGCATGCGAGTGTGTGCGATGTGAATACCCCTATGAGAGTCCTATAACTGATTAGTTGCGTCATTTCTACAATCAGACGTTTGTTTCTATGTTCAACAGCAACTGTCAAGCAATCGATTGTAGACTGTGTTCGGTTGCGCCATTGTTTAAAATGTTGTGTACTGCCGATTAGGGTCTAGCAGGCTTTAGAGCTTGCACAGAGCGGCTAGCGTCTACTGTCGACTTGACGACTCGCGCGTCTAAAGGCGAAACGGTTAATGGGACGAGTTATATTATACTCTTTGGATCTTGGGTGAGAGACCGCTGCCGCCGGTAGCAAGATCGATGGGATAAATTGACGGTTGAGGGACGGAAAATATAACTAGGCCCGCCGGACTAACTGATATGGAAATCTACTAGTCCTCTGATTTTTTGACTAGTCTCGGACTAACGGAACTAGTGTGTGAGTGTCGGACCGAAATGATATAATTTGATACTTTAACAACGTATTTCCACTGTACGTACATGCTTGTATAGTACATTGCTATATATATTATTATATATTATATATAGAAGAGAGGAGGAGAGTAGAAGCTGCGTACACACTGAGCGGAGAAAAGTGCTTTCACGACGACTAAAATAGGACGCGGCTTGTTAGCACGGCTTTGCTTAGCCGCGAATGACCTCCGGCTTGGCTAAGCGCGCGAATCATATTCCGCGCCAACCTAAGCAGGTATATTCGGCACCACGCTGGCCGCTATTGCTCACCTAGACTGGTACCCGTTCGCTGCACGACGTTAGTGTAGCGTGTGGAATGCGACAGAGGATAACAGTCTATATTATTCCTGGCTAGCTAAGCTCGAATCTCGTGATAACTCGTGTGAGAACGCTTATAACCGAACTTAGCACCAAGACTAAGCCGATGCGAAAATTCAAAATCTACGTCACGACGACGACATGGAAACCGATCATCACACTGATAGGCAACGTTCTCTCGTCACTCGTGGCATCCTCTGGACACAGATTGAGCTCGCTTCGAAGCTCAGCCGATTCACATGCGAAATGATGCTGTTTGTACATCCTTAATTCTGTTGTTATTACTTGTGTGTTTTTGTAGTTTTTCTGAAGTTCAGTGTGCTGAGGGATAGAAGCAGAACGAGGGCCAAAGGCGAATGAAGGGGAGAATTTGCACTCAAGGTGGAACAGCGTTACGTTAGGGAAGGACAGTGAGGAGAGCTAGAAACACCGTGAAATCGCAGTGTAATCGCACGTGAGACGAGACGAGCGACGCAATGTCTGGTCGAGAGAGATACACTGAGAAGAGAGAAGAGCTGAGGAACCACTAAAGCTACAAAT